TGCGTGCGTGCGTGCGTGCGTGCGTGTGTAAGGGACGGCGAAAACTAGCCTCGCGTGCATCGCTCCTATCACCTGCACTTTCATCCGGCTCCTATGTGAATCTTCGTATTCCCGTCCGAGCACATAATGCCGCGAGCGGATAACAGATTGTCCGCCGGATCCGCCAGTCTCGAATGGACTTTGAGACACATTTTAATCGAGGCGGTAATTAACGCGATATTTAAGAAGAGGCGCTCGGTAATCCGATCGGCTCGAAATTATCTCTTGACAGAAGTTTGCTGATCAATCTGCGAACGGCAGGACGTGACTTTAAATATATAAATCGGTCGTACATATAAATGAGCGGGCGATGGACTTTAACGTGAATTTAATTAAACTCGGCCGTTAAATGTAAGATCCTTAAATACAAGATGTGTGATATGTGCGAGAGAAAAATGACGGCATGGATAAATCATATCAATCCGCAGACACATTTCTCTTCAGTATACGATATCTTTATTGAGCGACTTCATTTCGTTAAGAGAGATGTTATCTGACTCTAATCTACAAATGTGAAATGTTAAGTGGAGTCTTATATTTTCATCATTGCCGAGCGACACGTCAAGGTCCTCAGGGTATCGCGTTGTACGTACCATTTGTTGCGAGGGCAGAAATATTAAGGAGGCGTTATCTCACAATTAGTATCGTTCGACTCGGGCAGGCAGGTGAAAAAAAGCTGCTTTTCCAGCTCGCTCGCATCAGGCAACAGCTGCCGCTCCGATGACTCTCTTTCGCTTTTACAAAGGTAATACAATACGTGCGTTCGATCGCGACCGACGATGCACTTTAACAGCATTACGATAGTCGCGAGCGAATAGTCCGATAAGATCGATGAATTGATAATCCGTCGCCGTGAAAGATTTTAATCGTTGAAACAATTTGCGCTGTATTCTTCGTGCTAGATATCGATGAGAAAATTATGCGCGCGAAAATTTTCCGTTGAAGACGTTGGCTCAAATAGCTATTTGCTAAAACGTTCGATCATATTTTCTATTGTTATTGTCGTATTGATTCGCATTATTTCATTAAATAATTGATTCTGTAAAATCTTTTAATCTTTAAAAAAAAATTGTTGCACTAATTCCATAATGCGCTGACTCTGATTAACCCTTTCTTTACTTCGTTTTGTTTTTTAATTTTAAGAGTCTATATCTAGTACTATATCGTTAAAAAAATAAATAAATCTCTCTCTTCCTAGACAAAGATATTAATTTAATAATATTAACTTAATAAATTTAACTCTCGTACTATATTATATTATCATGTAACAGTTAATATTCGCCGCCGTTTTATGTATCTCTCTCTCTCTCTCTCGTTGAAGGGAAAACTGGTTTAATTTGAATAAAAGTCTGAAAGTCGATCGTCCAAGAAGAGCCGGCCAAGTAATGCGGCCTTGGATTAAGGTATGCAAAACGCAAAGCCACCAATGCGCACACTAGGTGTTTATAAAGAGCTTTCGAGTCCCTTTCGAGTGACAAATCGAAATTCAAGAATTGATCCTCGAAAGAACACGGGCGACGCGGTAGTTCCTACGAATGACAAAGGGGCGAAATCGGAAAAATCAACGAGCCGCGGCGTAGGTTTCAACGCTATTACAGCGCAACGAAATGATGCGTCATCGATTGTCTCCCGTTGAAAGGCTATTCATCGCCCGATGGTCTTGCAAACAACACGCTTCGCCTCGGCACAATTCGCAGACAGTATCTACGGTGAAAAGTATCCGCGGTCGGTCAGGGACATCGTGTATTCCTGCCGTGGGCTAGCGTTCGTGAAAGAGCACGTTGTACCACGTACAAGCCGCGTTCACGATGCTCGCATCGATAAGTCCGACAAATTGCGCGTAATTGTGTGCGTGCGCGAGTCATTATCCGGCGGAGGCGAAAATGCGGCTGAGGAGAGTGCTGCTTGAAAGTGCGTTTCATACGTACGGTGACCGTTTATTTTAAGGGACCATTTATTTTAAGGGACAGTTTCAAGTAACTGTGCTTTAGATTTTTTATTTCTTCAAAACTCAATTTCGTCCTTCATTCGAATCCTTCGTCCCTTATTTTACCGGAAATTCTCTTCTAATTAATATTTCAGTGTCTAATGTCGTACCGAATAATGAGTAAATTATGAAAATAAAATATATAAAATATAAATGTATATAAATATAATTTGTGTCTTGCGTCAATGTCTTTAACTTTTTAAATTAAAATTAATCATATTAGATCCGTTTTTATTTTTATTATTTCGAATCTATTCCAAATTTGAATCAAGGATTTGTTTCAACACAATTGAACCAGTTTCAAACTATTAGAAAACACAGTATTTTATTTTGGTATACTATGTAAAAAAATTTCATAATGCGAGTATATTTCTGACAGCCACAAACTGATTTGGAAATATATAAGAACAAAGCTCTAAAATTTTCAGATTTGTCCTTTATTTTCTCGAAGAAAATATGGTCACCGTATTTATATGTGTAAAATATATGGAATGTTTGAACCGCAGGAAAGAGGGAAAAAACCAGGTGCGTCCGGGACGTACCAAAATACCGTTGCAACCTATGTATTTTTCATATTCACCATATGACACGTATGTAAAGCAAGATGTCTCTTTAAATAAGCTTCTGATCCTACTTCTTCTTTTACATCGAGAAACGAAAAACTTTTATTTTGTATGCTCCTCGGAAGATGAATTATATAAAAGAGAGAAAAAAAAATAATATAGAAGATCTTTCTAGATCGAATATTGCGGATACAACATGCTTTGTTTCAATTATACTTGCGGCGTGTATAATTGTAATACATTACGGCTATATGTGTCGTCAGCTGTAAAGCCGAGGTGGAAAAATGCGTAACGAAAGGGTCGATTTGAATCTGTATATAATGCTTTTACCCTCAATTAAATCAACCCTCGAGATAGGCGGCCGTTTGCCGGGCGCGACATTTGGCCGCGCGCTACGGAAGTGCGATTAAAAAATCGTCCCCGTGGCTGAGTTCATGAACGACACTCGACTGTATATCGTGGCGTTTAATATTGAACTGCGCAATAAACGATAGTGACAAATGTGTCAAAACCGCGATCGTAGTTATCGAAACGGGGGACGCACCCTTCGCGCTCTCGTACCCTCGACGAGGGAAGGGGTTGGCCTGCTCTCGCGCGTGGTGAGAGAGAGCAACGCGGCTCAACCCCCTCAAAAATTTTCTAATTTATTTCACTTTAAAGTCCCCGCGCCTATAGGTACGCGCGAAAAAGTCACGACGTATATATATACACATATCACATATAGAACGGAAAACGGCACGCATATGGGGTGGATCTCGCGCGTCACCCTTTTGCCAACTCCAATAGCATGCGACACGTGTGTCCTTGCGACAAGTGGCACGACACACCCTTTACCAAGTTTGCACACGCATCCCTTTGTGATACGGACGTACGCGGTGTTGCAAAATCAGCGATTCTTTGCAAATTCTTGTAACTTCTAGAAATCCAAGCGAGAAGAGTTAAACGCTCAATTGACAATCCTTAAGTTAAAAGAGGCAAAGCTTCAGAGAAATTTTTATTTTATACAAATAATTTTATATCTTCAAAGTTCTGTCAAGTGAACTTTATTTCGGATTACATAATTCGAGTGAAGATAATTCAAGAAACATTTCGATTGCAGAGCTTGGAAATTTGATTATTCAGATTTGACACACTGGATCTTGGATTCGCGTTTCTAGAAGGGTGACTTCTCAAACACCCCGTACGTAGATGAATACATACTACGCCCAGAGGACCCCCTTTTTATGCTCGGCGACGATATTTTAAAGTAGCAATGTC